TGGTGGGGTCACGGATGTGTATTGCGAATAAGTCTCATACTAAGGCAAAATAGCTACTTTCTAGTACTTCCGGGTCTTCGACAGTTCTCAAGCTGATTCCAGTTCATGATGAATACTACTCTGACGTAAATGAAATCCCCCCTTAACCTCAAAGTAATAATTTTCAACTTGCTTTGTGGTTACTTAAAGTGTCTCAAACGTGTCGAACTAGTCTGTATTCGGTAAGTGGCTGTTTAAAGTACTGGGTGACGATTGAAGGTGAAATGAAATTTTGGACCGCAGCCCGATTTGAACCAGCTACCACCAGGTTACCTACCCAGTGCTCCACCAATTGACCTACGACGTCCAACTACTCACCAGATTTTTATTTCACTTCAATCACAAGACAGGATTTTACCCGACTATCATGTGAATTCGTGACCCCTACTACTGCTTGATCGAATTCACGCTAGCTGCCTAGTCAGGACTTCTCATCTCAATCACAATCTAAGTGAATTAGAGAGGGGAAGCATCATATTGATTATCATCTGACTATCTGAAAGAGTCGTAGTTTGGCAGACTAGTATTTATACTGGGTGACGATTGAAGGTCACTCAATCATCACCGAGTATTAATACAAAGTATGGATAAATATCTGCGCTCAAACACACAAATAAACAATAAAATGCAATTTTTCTTAACAAGTGTTTGGTTTTTAACTGCGAATGTCATCACAACGGCCTGATAAAATAGAAATGGAAGAAAGACTACTCAAAATTCATTCGCCATGGAAACGATGTATGCATCTCCTATCAGCCGTGTTTAACCAAGTAGAACAGAATGAGAAAATTAGAACTGATAAATTTACTTAGCTGTTAGTAAATGCCTAGTGGTGTAAACTAGGGCCCAGTTTTCGCGTTACTGAGGACTCGTCAGCTGAATGCCGTTGTTCTAATTGGGAACCAAGCACAAAAATCTCAACTTTAAACAACAATGCATCATTTACGAACCAGGCCACCGAGTTGTGACAACCACCGCTTGTACATTGAATTTCATTTATCATTTATATACACTTGTATTTTCCAGCTTTTAAAAAAATACGGGACTCAAATGATCGGTTTTGAGTATGATCATGAATAGATGGTTATGAATCTTTTATTCACAAGATTTTGGCCAGAAATTCTCAACGGTTCAGATGATAAATAAGGTTTGCTTAGCTGGGCGATATAGTAAACCAGGTTTCATAACTTCCGACCAACAGAAAGGAGGCTATAAGTTGGGATTCTGTCTAAGGAAAGGTTTCTCTTCATACTTACTGATCAACTGCATACACGCGACCACCAGTTTATCAAGATCAGTTATTTTAGTTGGCCTAGTTATCAGCTCAAAACATGCCATAGCAACAGCCTGTGGACACATTGATTATATTACCAATTAATGTAGGAGTAAAACTTGAACAGTGTGATAGAATGAACGCCTGGATAGATCCCTAGAAGGATCATGGAAGCACTCAGCTGAGAAGTACCATACTATGACGAAACAGCTGTCTAGTGCTTCCAGGTTTTCAACATCTCTCCAACTGATGCCAATCCATGGTAAAAACCAACCTGAAATCAATAAATTAATCCCCACAAACCTATCTATTTCATTTCCAAGGAATTGAACAACAGATAAATCTGAACATGAAGGTGAGTGTATAAGTGTTTATAAATCAGTTGCTTTTGAATATAGCAGTTACTCAAATGATACCAATTAGTACTCCATGATGACCCACATCATTACATATTTCATGAAAATTCACCTAAAATCTTATTCTTTAACCCTAACTATGCTTGTTTACACGGTTTCACAACTAATTAATACGTATACCACATAATTTACAAATACCTTCTATGCTATTTATTTACCATATACATTTCTATACTGTACATTATTGTGATATATATTCTGGGACTAATAATTATCTCACTGTTTACAGTGGTAGTGAGTTTACATAAGACAATTCAGCTCACCTCAAAGTTGAAAATAATCAGTCTCTCAAGTCAGCCCGTAGAACTTCCACTTCTAGTCCTTACATTACTTTAGTCCAAATATGGTTGGAGCCACACACACACATACTTCCTCTGTCTTATCACTTATGAAAATATGAGAAACCTTGACACCTAAACCAAGAATAAATTATGATACAATTCAATGATAAGCTTTATCTTAAGGTGCAATAGTGTGAAAATTATATTTAGTAATTCAGTACTAACTAGAGGTCACTAGAAACTGACTACTCTGCAACCTTTGGCACTGACCATGGTCTATCAGCCAAACATTTTATGCAAACATCAAACAAAATGGCTCAACCTTTAGTTTTCCGTATACATTATTGTAGTCTTAAAGTGAAGCAATATTGCATAACTGTTAACAACTACTTAATTTCATCATAAAATAACTTAGAAGTGTGAACTTTCGACTTGTGGAATAAAAGTTTTCAAAATAAATTCAAGGATTTTTTCCTAGGTGGCATTCAACATGGACTGATACAGAGAACCAATGAAAATCTGAGAATAGTGGATGGTAGATGTTTCATCCTAATATATCGCCTCTCAGTAGTATATCTCCATGACCTCGTCAGGGATCGCACTCAGAACCTTCAAGTTTCACAGCGAACGAGTTAACGAATGTTTAAATTCATATGAATACCTAGATATGATTATGTCCGATAACTTCTGTTGAAAATATCATCCAATGTGTAACGCATAAAACAGTTTGTGATTACAATCTTTGCATGTCAGGGTGCAAATTCAAGTAGACTCTTTTCATCAAGTGACGTTGAGCAGAAAATTTATTAAAGGATATGATATATGGGATAGTTTTCAGCTTGGATCTGCACGAACTATGCAACCATTTAATAAACAGAAAGCTCTAGACAATTGTTTAATCTTTATCTAAAGCTAGTTAGCAGTGTCACTACTGCAGAAGGTTTGGAAGGAAGGGAGGGTACCTGGCCATTGATTGGAAGAAGGGCTACCTGGTCGCACTCCCAAGGAAGGGAGACCTAAGTCTCTGCGAGAATTGGTGCGGAATCATCTCCTGTCCACACCAAATAAAATACTATGCCTCATCATACTAGAGAGACTAAACAACATGTTGGATTCAAAATTAAGACCGGAATAGGCTGGCTTCAGGAAGAACAAGTCATGTGGGAATCAAATTCCAACGCTATGCATCATCGCAGAACAGACTGTAGAACGGCAGTCAACTCTCTACCTTACTTCAACTTCATCGACTTTGAAAAGACCTTCGACAACGTCGACCCAGAAGTAATTTGGCAGCTGCTTCAACATTACGGATACCACAAACCTTAGGTTCAAAAGACTGTAGAGAACACAGTGCAATGGAGACGTGCTACTGAAGGCCCATGTTCCACTAGGAACCCAAGGGACAAATAATAATAAGTCAGGAATGTGCAACTACAAACCTATACAAAATTCAGTGTAAGATTTAAAAGTATCACTATAACCGTGTTACTATTCAGTCACTGGGTTGAAATTGAGTTGACTGGATCTTACAGTTCCATTCAATTCTTGGTATATCATAGTTATTGATGATCCAATTTATTCACTAGGTGTGCATCCTCAGTCCCGAGGGGACTGATCCAGTAGATCAACACTGTGGAGTCACTGTTTCAATTTTGGAGGTTTTGAGGGTTGGTATTCATCACAGAATGATATGAGTTGGAGAACTATTGAAAATCTGCAAGCACTGAAAAGTAGCAATTTCGTCCTAGAATGGGACTCTTCAGTAGTACGCACCCATAACTTTGCTAGGGATCAAACCCAGGACATTCAGGTTGTGTGGGGAGCAGATTACCATTGATTCAGTGGTCCACATTTCTTATTTCTGTCGGCTGAAAATATAGTACCACCTTGATCCGATGCCACAGTTAACTGTCTTCTGGGACTTCATCTCGAGGCAAGTCACTAGTGAGCATTAGACAGTAATTCAGTTTGAAGTTCTTTGGGAGGACTTACTGATTTCATAGGTTGATAATTGAGTTCCAAAGCCAATAAATCAAAGTCCTGATAGGGTCAAGGGAGGATATATGCCCTAACTAATTGTACTATATAGTTAAAACAATGCGAACTAACACACCAAAAGTTAGTTTACTTGAAGGAAAGCTACATCTTACGACTTTCACAACGAATCAGAGTTATATTTAACTATAGAACTGAATCTACCACTTTTCTTCTGCTACGAAACTGAGTTATGTATTCCTCCCTATCTTGATAGTACTCATTGTAATCATACCTTTTTCCATGACATGTAGTTTTCATATGCTACTCCTTGTAGTTTGAACTATACACTGAAATATCTTCATGCCATACTTACTGTTCAAACAGGAAATAAATTTGGATAACACAAAAACTTTGGCGTCAACGTTCAACTGTTGATTTCTTCGCAAAAATGTTGATGTACATAGTAGAAAAAAACTGATACGCAAGCCAAAATGTCTCTTAGACATAAGATAAATGGATCATTCTCAATACTAGTAAATTCATTCAAGGCTCATTTATGTATTGACATTGGTCAACTCGTTGCATTAATTGCTATTCATCTGAATTTGTAATGCAGTCGAAGTTTACTTGCGAAAAGGAATTCAGGGCTATTTCCACCTCCATAGACGTCTTGCTAATGAGAATCGTTAACAGCCGCATGTGTATAGAGTAGGTCATAGTGATATGCTCCAGTCATCTCATCGAAATATCATACATAGCCCAGTAAGACATAATGTTACGAATAAAACTTATGAAACATGAGTAGTAGTAGTAGTAGTAGTAGTAGTAGTGTGAGTAGTAGTAGTAGTAGTAGTAGTAGTAGTAGTAGTAGTAGTAGTAGTAGTAGTAGTAGTAGTAGTAGTAGTAGTAGTAGTAGTAGTAGTAGTAGTAGTAGTAGTAAATTCTATGTAAGGATCAAATGATACGAAAGAAACACAGTCAGCAACTCAGAATAATACCAACTAGACAACTTACCGTCCAGATTTTGTAATCACCATTTCAGTAGTCATGCTGTGAAAATGTTTCCACAGGTCAGCATCTAATAATTCTGTCCTTTGAATTGATGAATCTGCTTTATCTGACTCATTCTGTAATAAGCCATTCGTTAAATATCGGTTGGGTATGTGATAACTGTTATCACCATTATTATTATTATTATAAACATCAGTGGGAGTAGTAATATTGGCGTTTGAAGCAGTAGTTTTTGCAGTATAAGTTGGTGAAATCAATTTATCAGGAAACGTATTCATTTGCTTCAAACTTAGATTCGTATTCTGTTGACTGATGATACCATCACTGTGGATAGAGTTGTGGAGTTCACTAACCACATCTGTCTGATGGTTTGGACTGTTCACTGACTGATAACGACGTCGACGATTATGATGTTGATAGTTAGATCCGTTATGGAAGCTTATCGCTCCATGATTTATCATATCATCCATAAAATGACTTATTGTCGTTACTGTTGAAGACAGTGGTACTGCTGTCGTCATTGTTGTCAATACTGAGTCAACTGTTGTTGTTAACGTTGAACGGGAAGATGAGTTGTTTGACTGTTGATGACTACTTGTTTGTACAAGTGAACTAACATTACTTTTCATAAACATTATCCACATCATCATGAGTAACATGTTATTCTTATCTGACCAATCTACTGTATCACACTGAACATTTTTGGAACAATTCTGTAAAATATAGTTAGCATGTTGATAATAATAATGATAATAATCTTCTTCGTCTATACTGCACTTATCATTGGGATTATTTAAACAGTTTTCCATATGGTTTTGTTCTAGTGAACCGCAATCATTGGTGAATAAATTAATTGATGCTGGTAAATCTGTCAACATTGTACCATTGAATATTGAATGTAGAGCAGTAGCAGCTGCTGTCACTGATGGCGTCGAGGATAATGATGGTGAAGAACACGGATTGTTTAACAAGTAGTTTGTAGCGGTATCATTCAAGGTTTTCATGAGTAGGCTTAATTTATCAGCATCCATTCTGTTCGTGCAAAACACAGAAGAAGGTAAAGAGGAGATTGCAGACTGTGATGATGTTAGTGATGGTGGCGGTGGCGGTGGCGGTAGCGTTGGTGCATGAAAATGAAGATTAGGAAGAAACGAAGGAAATTTGAATCCTGTACTTTTTAATAGTGTTGTTGGTGATACCGGTGATTTACACTTCAATGATTCATTTAAACTGTATGGATTTCGATTTAGCATTCCTATTTCTTGTTCTAATTTATGATGATCATCAGTAGTTTTATGAATATCTCCAGATTCTGTTCCAGATGAATTCGATATGATGATAGGATTTTAAGCGGTGATGGTGATTTATCAGAGAAACATAAATTTGGATTTTTTTGACTAACCAACATTACTCTTTATGGCTATTTTTGTGTAAATCTTATTTTAAAGAAAAATTCTCCGTTTACAAGGTTTGTTTTTTTAGATAAAGATAATAATAACTGAATTCTTCATTCTTAAAAATACAGATGAAATTAACATTTAAATAAAATCCTAAAATGATTGGATATATTTTTCACGCTGTAAAGGGGGATATGCATACGAGAATGTTAATACGTTATAACAGACAAAAACAAAACATTCTAACCAATAGACTCCTTTTCACACTTGTTCATACGAACACGTTTAGTTAGATGCTATGGGGTGTGAAGTCGAACATATGATACACACATATACACACAATGGGCATATGCACATACATGGACTGGTTAACTGGCTAAAACAAATATACCTCCCCCCCCGATTTAATTTAACACATTTCTAACTTCTTTTCTGTACACTTGTGTGGTAGGTAGAGGTAGAGCTATAGGAAGATTTTGTTAGGACATGTTAGACATTTAGGCTACCTCTATACGCATGGAAGAAGAAAGGATTACAGTTGGATTGGCTAAAAATTTTATCCCGTTAATACAAAAGTTTACACACACCAACTCTGTGCATAAGAAACGTTTTGAAAAAACGACAAATCAACATGGGAAGACATGTGTTATTTTACCGTCTGCTACAACAGCATTTATCCTCAAAATTTCGCCACTTCTATTGTTGTTTTCTTTTTGGCTTTTTCAGTATTTCACAGTTTTTTTTGACATCATCAAGACCATCTTCCTGCCTCTATCATCTCTCTCTCTCCCTCTGTCTCTAAGTCATTAGGTTAACAGACAGAGACACGGTGAGTAGGTCACATATTAGTGATTTGAGTGTCACAGTATATGGCTTTGATCATTCCTAATAATCATAATCATAAAATAGTAAACAATATTTTACCAAGTGAAACTTTTCTTAGGTCAAGAAACCTAGACATCTATCTGAAAAATAAACAAAAATAAATGTATACACAGCACTAATCAATTCAAGAGTATTAGTACATATTGACAATCAAAATTAGCACAGTATGTGTTTGAATGTAATGTGGTTGTTATAACTAGTAGAATAGCGAATTTTAGTCATCTTACGTAATAATGGCAAATAGTAGGATGTTCACTTTTTAACTGTCAGTCTGTTAGGTATTTAGGAAACTTAGAGTTTTAGGATCGATCCTTCACGAGGTCATTAACGCGTATAATTGTTCAAGGCTTCTTCAAATAATGTCACTCCATGGTGACAACTACTTTTAAACCAATAAAGCCTTAGAGACCAACAACTGAAGCAAAAGAAGTTATAAATACAGACTACTTGAGTCATTCTATTTGGCAAACAGTTAACAGATCATTCCAGGTTGAATATATATTCATAAAACAACCTAGTTACTGAGGCAATAGGAATTCAATTAGACACGTCTCAGAATTAATCATAAGTTTTATTATGCCAGTGTTCCAATGCACTAGAGCTCAAAAAGTATATTTAGTGATTTAACTGACCGAGAATCAGTCAATTTGAAAGAGATCACAGTTCTGGAGAATTTTTAAAAAAAATTTCTATTTTATGTATCTGAAGAAGGAACGATGATTCCATACTTTGGTTTTATCAACTATCTTACTTGCGTAGAATGTCTCTCGATAAACATTAGTGAACTGACTGAGGGGTAAAGTATCGGTCACATGTGTACGCATTTGTATTGATTAACGATAACTGACAGAAACTGACAGCAACAGTACAGAATAAGTTTAAAGAATTGTGAATCAGAATGTTTGAGTTGCCGATCTTTGAAGGTATGAGATAATGGATCTACTGTCGTCATCATATCACCAAGATACACTCAAACATCCAGAGTCCTTGATGATTTTCTGAGTCACAATGAATTAGTCCGTTCCCAAAACTCTTCTTTGGCTAAGATTATGCCTCAGAATAAACTGGTGATACGCTATGGTGTCATTCTCTCAGTGGTCGATCAACATCCTAATTGATGCTATCTGATGAAAAGAGAATTCAGTTATTCAGGTAGGTGGTACTTTGAAAAATATCACAACCAATCGACATGTCATCCAGATTAGTGCGGTAGCCAAAACCACTTTGATGTACTTCATAGTCTAGATCTACAGTCATGAAGATGAAAGTAATGAGTAGATACAAGACTGAAAAACGAGGATAAGTCTAAATAATGACATTTTACAAGTAAGAATGCTCAAGAAAGAGATACCACAGTTCATGTTTGGCTGGGAATCCCACAGAAGTTAACTACGGGATTCAAACAAAAGACTTTAAGAATGAGGTTCTAGTGATGAATTGATCGCATCTGTTTGTACCTGTCAGCAAGGCATATTTGTAAAACATGATAAGGTTAATGTTCCTCCAGTGATTTGAATCTGTGTCAACTCATCAGTTCAAGAAGAGAACACTGGTTTCCTTAAAATCTGGATCCAGTGTTTCATGCCGACCGACTGACACCAAGTAACGTCAAAATACAGTGCACCATAGTGTTGAAAAATTTAGCTTAGTGACTACATTACGAAAGCCTGATTGATAGACTTCAATCGATGCTAAGCATTGAGGGATAGACAGCTGCATTGGCTACCCCCTCGTGACTACCTCACGTATTTACTAGTATACCTCACTAAGATGAACTTTACGCGGATATTTATGACAATAGCCTTATAAACAGCTAATGGCATGTAACAGTAGTGATCATACTGTTGCACAGATATTCTGCTATCAAGGTGGAAACAGTAATTATTAAACGTCATCAGCTGAAGTTTAAATAAATTCATTGAAAATCAGTAACTTCTTTATATTTCGACATATTGTCTTCAACGGCCGCCAACTTCGACATTTGAACAACTGTAGAGTCATACATAGAATTCGTTTATTCTACTACCAAATACTAATATCATGCATAACTGTCTATAACCGATCTATAAAAAAGATCTGATAAACTTTGATCAATTGAACAACTGGGAAATTAATTAGGAATATAGCATAATTGATGGCGTTTATCCAAAATACCTAGAATAAAAAATGAAGACAGTTGTTCATATAATACTTACACCTATATACGAGAAGAGGAACGTGTCAGATAGTCATTCATTCTTCTTTATCCTACCAGGTCATTTCAGAGGTATGTTATTAGCAGTCTCAGTCATTCAAGAGATTTTTCTTAACAATATAGGCATGAGATTTAGTGTCTTTCTGTATGTATGCGTGTATGTGACAGTTTATTTCACTGACTATGAGTAATAATCATTAAACATGGCGCCGAAATGAAATGTTGACCCTTCAAGTTAGTTAAACAGCTTAAGCCTACAACTTGTCAAATTTATGGGTGTAGTAGTGGTACTACTACTACTACTACTACTACTGCTACTACTACTACTACTACCACTAATAATAATAATAATAATAATAATAATAATAATAATAATAATAATAGTGAATATTATTCCTACTGTTGATATTTTTTTCATACATGCACAAGCTTGTCTAATAAACTTTTTTACGTAGAAAAATAACTCGAACAAAAGAAATGATTTCAGGAATTGAACAACCAAAAGAAAGGAAGTTGGTGGGTGTGATTGTTGGGTGTTACTGTTTTCAATGAGGTGTATGAATAAATGAATATAACTAATAAATTATTTGTGTACAACTAATGAAGAGATCTCATTCGTGTGAGGAGGGTAGGGTTAGAATTATACTCAAATGGCCAGCTGTTCTGATGTGCCAATTATTAATTACTATTAATCCTGCTTTGTTGTTTTAACTTTTCAGATTATTAAATTATAAGCAACTACTTATGGTAATTTAGTTGGTTGTGGCTAGCAGAGGAATCCAGGACTCGCAGGTTGAACAATTTGATCCAATAAAACAACGGAGAATTATAAGTATATAACAATAAATAGTTATAAGCAATAACATTAAAAAAACTATATCCCTTGCATAAGAAGTGGGTATTGTGACACAGCTGCTTAGTACATAACGTTCTAGTGTTTGAAGCGAGCGGTCCTTTGTTCAAATCTTAGTGGGAGCAACATCACTCACTGGAAGGCAGGTACATCTAGCTAACGAGTCCCAAATAGGACGAAGTGCTTGTCCCGTATCCCATTATTAGCAAATATCCATCATTACTACTAGATATCGGTTTTTGTCACTCAACTGTTTACACTATGGACAGAAATGGCGTTAACCTTTAATAACGCATAGTCCTATCATTACTATCAATAATACCACTCTGGTTTCAGTGGTTCAACGTTCAATATTGAATGACTGTTGAAATGATACTTATGCACAGTTTAAACTTTCTTTATATGCTGACGATAGGAATAGTATTTATGAAATGGTATTCATATCCACCAACGTTTGTCAGTACTGATAGTATTCATACCCGGAAAAGTCTTTGGACGCAGTTTGTGCATGTATCGAGTACTTTTAGGAACGCTTTGTTTGTTTTTTTCGGTCAGTCAGTCAGTCAGTCAGACCTTACATTAGCTCGTGACAACACAGATGATCACAGCTCTTATCAACATATCAAGATACAAGAAAGCAATATGAAAGACAAGGAAATGCGAATAGTATATTGAAAGTCCTGAAAAGACATGAGAACTGAATCAAATCTGGATCAGTACTGGGTGATGACTGAAGGCGAGGTGGAAATCTGAACTGCGGCCGAATTCGAAGCAGCTACCACCAAGTTACCTACCCGGTGCTCCACCAATTGAGCTACGAGGTCCAACTACTCACCAGATTTTTATTTCACTTCAATCACAAGACAGGGTTTTACCCAACTATCATGTGAATTTGTGACCCCTTACTACTGCTTGATCGAATTCACACTAGCTGCCTAGTCAGGACTTCTCATCTCAATCGCAATCTAAGTGAATTAGAGAGGGGAAGCATCATATTGATTATCATCTGACTATCTCATATAGTCAAATGAAAATCTGGATTATTACAAGCAGCAAAAAATTTGAGATAGTGACGACTGATGCAGTGTTTGAGTCCGGTCATCCTTAGCTTTCTTCCCAACCTAACACAAATCTACCT